ACTGCAAAACAGTGATACTGAGAGAGTAATTTTTGAGTAAGGTTTTTTTGAGTAATTTTTGAGTTTGAGTAAGGTTTTTGAGTAATTTTTGAGTAGGCTTCTAGAGAGTAATTTTTGCCACCTAACCTGCCTGGACTTGTGGTGAGAGACGTTCTCGCGATGGATTGAACTGCAGGATTTGAGTTATCATGTTTTATGAGATGATCTAGCTTGAGGGGTGAATATTTACAGCATGTCTTTTGGTGTGGTGGCAAATTACAATGCTATTATATATCTGTTCATTCTCAAGTTATACAGCTTTGTATTCACAACAACAGTTTTAATAGTTTTTAGATGACTATTTGTCGAGATCGTCAAATATGTGAGGTTATAATTTTTTATCCTACATAAAATGATTTTATATACTTTTGCAGCAATGAATCAACGCAGAACTTAAGAAACTTGTTTTCTGAGAAAAGTTTAGAACCGTCTCAGACTATGTTCTTCCTTCACTTTTCATATTTGTTCAACCATCCTGCTACTTCTCCTTTGCTGAAATATCTATTCCGATAGGAAATTACCCTGAAAAAAATAGATGTTCAATTTAAGTGATTTGCAAGGAAATTAATATGTGGAAAACATTATTAATTTTAGAGTTTTTCACCTTTTTTCCAGATTTTTGAATGATTAAAGTACGTCAGGGACATTGAAAGGAAAGGCCTTAAGGTGAATAGTATCCGAATTGTTTAAATTTAATGATATGTTCAGAGTGAGGTCTGGAGCAAGTATTCGTTCTCGTTTACTCGAAATCGCTTAATGCTGGTAAAGTGAGAAATTCCTTTTTTTTTTTGCAAAAGTTGCAGCGTTGCTACCATTAACAGTTTGTTGTCGAATATGCAGATGGACACTGGACGATGTAATAAATTAGGGTGAAGTGCGTAATTTAATGCGTAAAGTTCAGGCGATGTATCATGCCTTTCTCGATTCACTCATTTTTAAGGTGTAAATCCATCTTTAAAAAAACGAAAAAAAATTAGTTACTACTCTTAATCGAACACATTTACTTGACACTTTTTTGATTCAGATTTTTGAAAATTGACTTAGGTATTTGTTAGCAAAAACTGCATTTTTAACTTGCGTATTTTTGCACCATTCACTGTCATTTTTCAAGTGTATGCAGTATGGGAAATTGATGATTTGACCGTTTAACCAATGTTTTCATCTTCTTTTAATTACTTAAATTGATCTTTAATGTTTTGTTTATAAATAACTGTGAATAAATGGTACGGAGATTTTTTTAAAGTGATTGCTTTTTCTTATTTGTGCAAGTCATTAAAGGCTTAACGGTTTTTATATATGAAGTTTCAGTCTTGAATCTCTTCCTGTTCCAATGAATCTTGAACCTTTTTCTGTTCCAAAAGAAAATTGTTAGGCTGAGGAACCACGCAAATCAAATTATGGTTACTTTCTCCTATTTGTGTTGTCTGCTGAATAAGTTCATACTTTTTGTCACTAAGCATGCGGAAGTTTTTAAAAATCTTTAGTTTATTTTATGTTAACTAAGTGGAAATTAAAAAATTCATGAAGGTAAAGTGAATTAATTTTCCCAGCTTCTATCGTACATAATGCTTGACAGATAATAAGTGGGAGCCATTGTTAATCATTAACAGAACAACGGTGACTTTATAAACAGTAATAATTTTGTTCGTCATGAATTATGGAATAGGTTTAATTTTATATAGGGTCTGCATCCTTTTTTTTCACCATGAGATTCTTAGAATTTGCTTTCTCTCCCCTATCGAGATCAGTCCTTGGCCTTTGGTTACTCATTTTTGTGTTGTTATTACGATTGCGAATGATTTTTTCAAACCTTTGTTCTTTCCATGTTTTTGTGGATCTTGGAGCATGTAAGATTCATTTGACAGTCAGCTAGGTGCATATATATATATCGTAACAATTTGTGAATATTTTGAAAACCTCAATCTTCTTGCATTTTTCGCTCCCGAAAATTTGTTTTTAGGAATAGATTTGAAGTAACTAATAGATGGGGGCATGCCTTTGCAAAGGAAACGATCATCTTCAAGACGTAATCGAGATAGAAGGCAGCATTCTAACATTAACAGTGGTAGTGGAGATGCATGTAATTACGTTGTTCGACAAGTACGAAGGTGCTTGGCGTCACGAACGCAAGCTGTAACACTTACAAATCTAACGCCATCTTCTCAGGATGTTGACGGTAATAATATTATTAAAGATCCATTATTTTATTTTTTCATCTTGACAGTTTGAAACAGTTCAGATTTGATGACGGACCATTTGGAGATGTTAAAAGTTGCAGTTCTTTTGAGAAGATACTTTCTGTATGGAATAAATTTATCAGTTTTAGTTAGCACTCGGGTTATTGAAGAAGTCGAAGCTGATGTAAGAGATTTGATATGGCAAACTCTAAAGATCATACGGTACCTAGTAAGCAAGTAAGTTGTCATTTTCTGCGCCCCTTTGAAAATTTTAGCAAATTATCCCAAAAAAAACTTGTGCGAAATATTTTTTAGCAGGACATTAGCTAACAGGTGTGGCAATGCATATATCTTTAACATTAAGATATCTGAAGATTTCAAGGATTTCTGAAATAACGGAATATTTTTCCAGACAATAAATTTTTCAGTGATCAGGAACCACCCACACAACTGCTGAAACTAAATTTGATTGCCGATAAAGAAAGTGGTTGGATAATGGTCGTCATGTGCTTAATTGATGTTGTTCCTGTTGAAGAACCACTTGGCCCTGCTGTTATCACTCTTTTCTTGGATGAGAGTCCACTGCCTACAAAGGTTGGTGTTGACTTTGACTCAGTATTTAAAATAGGATTTAAAAAGCATTGCTGGTCTCGAATTACAAGTCGTAGTGAAGATGACGAATTCACTGAAGAGATTTTGAAGATTCTGTAGTCATTGGAGACCAAGTTTGATGAATTTATGATTCTCATGTATGAAAATACATATATTCATATATATTTATATATGTCGGAAGTATTATTTATATGTATATATGAAATGTATAACAAATTCATACTTGAATACTACAGTGGTTATAACCAAATATTTAGTTTTGGACTTCTGACATTTCATAAGCTAATTTTGGGGCAGGTCATGATTTCAAGACGTATAAATCCAGTTGCATAATCTCATTAATTTTGGAAGGAAAAATTTATTGCAGGAAACAGTAATGCGTTTACTTACACACCATATGCACTTAGAGTTGTCACATTTAACAAATCGCAAAGATTTATCTTCTCGGCATCGCAATATCTGTATTGTACTTGGATCTCTTGCTGAAAAGTTAGCTGGACCAAGCTGCATGCAGATATGCACAAACACTACTCTCAGTTATCTTCTCGATAATCTTGTAAATTTTTCAAAAAATTCTTTCTTTGCTTTCGTAATTTCTGACAATCTAATAAGCTAAGAAACAGAATAGATTACGGTATATTCTCTCTTTTCAAATGTATTTCTATGCTCAGCATGAAAGCGCATCAATAATCGGAGATACTATTGAATTGCCAGTAATCAAACAGATATGAGCTATTTTTTTCTTTCAACAGTATTTGAAGAATTCTGAGAAGTATCAAAGTTCATTTTTCTTTCATTTGTTTAAATATGAAGATTTTCATGTCATCCAGTTTTAAGTATTTCTCTTTTTCTTAATATAAACTTTTTTCTTCCTCAAACAAAGCTTTTAAAGGAACCTACGGGCGATCTGCAAGTCATTCTGTTTTCATTAATTGCTTTGGAAAAATTCGCTCAAACGAGCGAAAACAGGTTAACAATATGCCGACGACTGGAGCAAATGGAACAGAATCCATTATTGGTGAGGTTAAGTTGTAAAGTTTAATGATTTTATCCAATGTCGTGCTCACAGTAAAACCCTTTTATTTCTACGATGTGAATCTTTTATTTTGAGGACACATAAAATAGGCCGTTTTGGCTTTTAAGGTAGATTATGGAAAAATGATTCGAAAATCAGCTCATATGGCAACAGCTTTCAATTTCCTTGCCCTTGCAGGTTTTAGAGTCATGGCTGAGTGATTCAAGGATTGAAGATGACTGGCTGAAACAACAAGTTGCATTTTGTGCTCAATGGTCATTGGACAATGTCTGTCAGTTTTTTTGTGGAAACATTGCGGGACACTTATTAGACTTTTATTTGTTTACTCATGAGAATTTTTATGTATTCTTCAAAAATAGTAGCATTAGACTCATCAATCATCTTCCGTTATTTTTGATTTACTTGGAAAATCACATATTATAGTTTATCAAAAAAAATTTTGAACACGTCATAGGAACTTTGTTGTTTTAGCCGTTTGTTTGAAATGAATCAGTTAGCTGTTTGAAATAAAATGTAGTTCATAGACTGGTGAAACTATTAATATCTCTTTTTCACAAACAATTTATGGTAGACGGAAATTGTAATCCTAGTATAAACTTTATGATTACAAAATTTGTAGTTGTGATCGAGAACCGTATACCGTCATACATGACTGTAAATGTTGATGACACCAATGCTATGTTAAATCATGAGGATGTCAGCGAGTATCTGAAAATTGGTCCTAACGGCTTAGAGGTAACTGCTGTTTATCGCGGTAACTTAGTAACTTTACTGGGCAGGATAAATTAGTATGTATAGCTGAGTAATAGATTATTTTGTAGTATAACGAACATTGTAGAAGTGGAACCAAATACGAGAGGTTTTATTTGTTGGATAAGAAATAGTGGCAACTTATGTTTTCTTCTTTTTTTTTTTTTAAATTTCTTATGATGTTTGTTTGGAATCCATGGATTTCCAACTTACATCATTAGTTCTGAGCTATCATTGTCTACGTTTTCCACAGTTTCCAGGCACGATGTGATGTTTCATCGTTTGAATCAGTTCGATGTACATTTGAAGCTACATGTGGAATTTGGTTTTACGAAGCTCTGATTCTAACTTCCGGTGTTATGCAAATTGGCTTTGCTACGAAGCAGAGTCGTTTTTCAAATCATGTATGGATTTTTTATATTTTTTCTAAAACTCCTACTGATTTTTTTCGAAAAATTATCAGTTAATTGTCTGAATAAGACTTTTGGGTTAAGACTTTTCTCGTTTTTCATTGTTAGGAAGGTTATGGGATCGGTGACGATGATTGTTCTATAGCGTACGATGGTTGTCGACAATTAATCTGGCATAATGCGGATTTCATGAAAATCGAACATGATCACTGGAAAGCTGGTAAGACCTTTTAGAAGTGGGCGAAGCTTTAATTATAAACGTTGTGTTGTGAACATATAGCTCGATGTTACCAAGAGTCGTATTTCAGTAGTTTTATTTTGTATAAATCATCTGAAAGGCTTCCCGTTGTCAAGAAATATTGCAGTGGAGTAAAACTCATGAAATTCAGAACCATTATTAACCAATTTTAATTGCAGTGTCGATGATTCGCGAATTGTTTGCAAAAGCTGATTTCAACCTTTATGAAATACATAATGTTCAAAAATAGACTGAGTAATTACCAGATCTTCTTTTTAAGCATTACCTACTTTCTGGAGGTTGTTAAAAGCTTATGCAATTCTTTGAAAACATCATAACTCGTCTTTTACTGTTATGCATAAAATTATATCACTTCGTTTGACATTTTTGCGGGTTTTTATTTCTTAAAAGTTACTTGAAATGATTAAGTCATATGAACTATGCTATAATGCTGCGTTGAGTGACAAGTTCTGATTTGTGATAACGACATCGAATTCTGGGTTGAACTGGATTGATTTGTCAGTGGTGCAGGTTGGTTGGATTCTATTTTTTTTTTACTCTTTCAGTTGATGACAGATCAGTTGCAGGTGATGTTCTCGGTTGCTTATTGAATCTACAGGACGGTTACGTGCAGTTTTATCTTAATGGTTTATCACTTCGTCAACCGCATCGCGCATTCCTCGATAGGCGGAATGAAAATTCAGGATTTTTTGCAGCTGCGTCGTTTATGAGCTTTCAACAATGTCGTTTCAATTTTGGCTTGAAGCCGTTCAAGTTAGTTGTTAATGAAAGCCATGACGATGTAGTCGATATTTGTATTTGTTTACAAAAAAATTTTGGATATATTTCTTGCAATATTTCTCTTAACCGTCACAGAGTGCATTGAGGGTTAGTTTCTTTGAATTTTCTGATTCACCCATATAATTGGAATCAATTTCCTTTACAGTGTTTTAAAATAACTATAAAATTTTAGATTTCCTCCAACGGACATATCATTTAAAACTTTCAACGATTACGGCACTCTCTTCTCTAAACAAAAAACTATTCTCCCACGGTCTGTTGTTTCGTTTTTTTTTTTTTTTAGTAAAATTGGACAGAATTTAAGAAAATATAGACAACAAAGTAAGAAACTGGGTCTAGCTATATAAACTTAAATCATTTAGTCTAACGCTCCACAGCTTCATTAGAAAACTTGTCTCCATTCGAACGATCTGTAGCTTTTATGCTTCCAGTTAATACTGTTTTATTGCAGACAGCGAGGAATTGAACTCCTTACACAAATATCTATAGCGGATGATGCATGCAATTTATGTTATGCAAATTCAATTGATACTGTTTTAAAGCCATGCGAACACGGGTGAGTTCTCTGGAATCTCACTCTTTATTTAAAAATAGAATTTTATATCTCTCAGAAGTTGATGAGGGACAGTTAATATTTATCAACTTCTGAAAATCAATCCATGTTTTCAGTGGAATTTGTTACTCTTGCTCCGAGCAGATTGAACTTTGCCCACTCTGCCGTGAAACAATCACAGAACGTATAAAGATTTCTAGACGAACCTCAATGTTGATGCAGCATAATGGAACAATGCTAGATAATACCAACACTGGTAGTCCATCGTCATATAATATATATTTACATTCCTTGTAAGAAACATTTACCTAAATAAGTGAAATCAATTCGAAATTTAATTTTAAATGCAAATTTTTGATGTATGTGCTTGAATATTGGAAACTTAGAACATTATTTTTTATTCAGCAGTTATTTTTTGTAATATGTTTCTCAGTCCAGTATGTTTAGATTTCAAAGCATTTCCCATGAATATATATCAAATTCAATTGAGAGACGCTAAAAATAAGGTCGGTTATCTTCTAGTCTTCAGAAGAGCGAAAAATGAAAGTCGATAGGGTGGGAAGAAAATGGCATGCTTGTTTAGTCAGTGCAAATTTTGCATTGAACGTTCTTTGACTATGACATTTAAAATTACTTTTTTCTTTTTTTTTTGTATATTAGAGCAAATAGTGATTAATTTATTACCATTTGAGGACTAGCCCAATTCTCTATTGTAAAAAACTGCACAGATTGGAATTATATTGAAACTTGAGCATTTTGATTGGAATTATATTGAAACTTGAGCATTTTGATTGGAATTATATTGAAACTTGAGCATTTTGACTTGATGGGAAGTCATAGAAATAATTTTCTTCATGTCATCTTATTTTCTGTTCTAGCAAATTCCGAAATGATGCTGTAAATAGAACGTGATTTGATGCATGCCAATATATACGTGTACTTTTTTAATGGTGAATTCAGAATTTCGGTGGAAAATCAAATCTTTGTTATATGTTAATATTATTTCGGAATATTCACATCTGTTTACTTATTGCTTTCTAGCTAATGCAGATGTTCTGTAATAAAGTCTATTTTCGAAACTTAATCGAACGAGTTAATGAAAGGGTTTCTATTTAATTTCCCTATTTTCATTTTCTCCTTAATCAATCTTTTGAAATTTCGATATTAATGTGGAAAGAAGGAGCCTTGCTTTACATGGTGTTCCACATTTTCAATTCATGTATTTTTACACTTCATTTTATTTCATCTTTTTTATCGCAGTGGTTAATAGAAATAGACGATGCTGTTATTACTCTTATTTTTTTTTAAACATTTGCTTACCTTATCTTTTGAAATATTTTTACTTTTCATGTAATCAAGTGTCGAGTCGCAGTGAATTTTATGAGATGCTAGTTCTTTGCTAAGGAACTTCAAAAACATTTTTTTGCAGCGATTTTGACTACTAATGAAAATTTTAGAATGATTGCGATGAAATAAATACTACCTTTAATTGCGGTATTGGCTTGTCGGTTTTTGATTTCTTTTTTAAATTTGCTATCTGAAATGGCATGCTAATACCTTAATTACAAATGATCGGTTTCCATCCGAAAACGGTATGTGCGGATTGTGTTTGTCATAAATGGGCAGAAACTTGTTCAGTTTTTGAAATTCCATTTTCAAAATTACATTCTCGGTATTTTTGCATGTTATAGGAATAAATTATACTAGTAACAATCTTAGTCCATGTTTCAGCAGTGGCTAATTGTTCCTGTTTCTACTTCAGTACTGGTTAATTTAAAACTGCTTAAAACCCATGCCATGCAAAAACCAAGAATGCAGTTTTAAAAATGAAGCCCTTTTGAAACTTGGGCCAAATACTGGTAAATTTAAAAGTGGTTCAGTGGATAATAATTTAACTGGAATTTCACAGTTGTCTGGTGTTTCTTTGTTCTTCACTCGAGTACCTTGAATGAGGATGCTGGTATCGTTTTGCTGTTTTGGTTTTGTTTTCGGTTCCAGATTGAAGAAATATGTCTCCAGTTAAAAAGATCAATCGGAAGAGAAAAAGTAGAGTAGCGCTTCTTGATGAAGTGGAAGTCGTCAGTGTTCATGGGAATGAGGGAGATATTCATGATGATGTATCCAGTTCTGTGAATACATCTGTAAGGTTTCTTTATCCTTTAATACCATTATATTTTATATTTTTTATGCTTCCAAAATAGAATGCCGAACTATAGAAATGCTTCGCAAAATTCACAAGTTTGTGCGGGATGAATTGTAAGCGCTTCCTTCATTTTAGGAAATTCTCAAAGCTGTCATCTTTAAAACAGATTGCTGCCTTCCAAACACCAAGCTGGCACCCAAAAATAGTAAGTTGATGATTCAGATTTTGAGGCAATTTACACTTCAACCAAATCGGATAACATGGGGAGAAATGGTGTGATTCCTTGAAGGACTTTATAAATTTGGTCTTTTGAGATTCACTTTATTTTTATAAAAAAATAATCCGATATTCAGAAAATGCCTACCTTCCATATAAAGAGGAGGAATGGTCGCCATTGTTTCTGTATCGTACTCCATTCGACCTAACATTGGCAGCAATACGGCAGTCTGGTTCCGAGGGCATAGGACGTTGTCAAATTGGAAAAACTTACGGGATGGATACGACAACAAAAGCCGGAAATCGTCGAGTCTCAACAAATATCGTGAATGGGATCAAATCATTTCCTGATCATTTTGGGCAATATCAGAAAATGGAAGGCAAAATTAGGTGTATAAAGTAAGGCTTTTGTTGCAGATATTGTTGCGAAAAAGTTTATGTTGTGTAACATTTAAAACTTCTTTTCCAGGTATTACTGGAAAGTAGCTGCTCATCCAGAGAGTTTCATCTACCTTTTCAAAAACTGGAAAGAGGTGGTTGGTGATGATTGTCCGTTTAGGATTGGCGAAGTTTTGAAGTTTCCGAATACTAATTTGAGTGCGTTTTTTAAATTGTTTGTCATAAATTGGAGTAATAATCAAGATTGGTTTTTTAAAAAGTATTTCGTCTCACATTCACATCCTAAAGTTTGAATTTTTTTTAAAGTAAAAAGTTCACAGAGTTTTCGATTCAGGTACCCTGCGAATGAGTGATGTTTCACTGCGGCGATTGATTGATATAATGAAAGTTCTAAAGGAGCATCGTGTTATTGTAACAGTTCATCATCTTATGAAAATTATCACAGATATGGAGGTTGAATATGGTCTTTGTTATCAGGTATTTTATGTAATAATTTCTCGTCTGCTAAAAAAAGCGATTTTTTGGAAACAAACATATTGCGAATGCAGTTTGCATTTAGAAATGCTTCAGTTTTATCTTCAAGAAGAAACAAAAAGAATCAAAGTTTTTGTTAAAATTTTCCTGATCTTTTCTTATCCAAACATCTTACTCTGTTTATATGGTTTTTGCAGCAGTTAATTTTTCCTGTCATTTAGATTGATAAAAAGTCTTTGTTGAAATGTTTGAAAGCACTTGAAAAGAAGGGCTATCTACACATGTTCCAAACCGTTGTTGTTGAGGAGTTCCGATCGAATAAAGTAAATTTTTACTCCGTTAGTGGCATTGTTTCTGAATAATGCAGATGTCGGTGCTATCAGTTCCTATAATATAAATTTCCTCACTAAAATAACAGTAGTGTTGGCGGAAACAATTGGATCATATCACTGAGTTTTTGCATATAATGACAGAAGCAATCGGTAAATACTATTGAGTCTCACGTTTAATTTGATTAAAATGTATTTCATTTTCAGATTTTAGTTATCACCGAAAGTGACATAACTGAAGCATCACATCCAGAAGTAGAAGCAGCTATCCGCGTAACTATCAGTGAATATAATGAAAGGGGACGTGTGTTTCCTCATGGACAGTTGAGGTTTGTTAAAGGGAGCATGAATTTTGCATATTTACTGCTCTGGTCATTTGTCTACTGCTATGGTATTCCTTTTACTATTTCATTTCACTCGTTTTTCACTGCAGTTTTTTCTTTTTTCAATTTCCTCACTTTGTTATTTGCATATCGAATTGAGTTTGAAGTTTCGAGCAAAAATTTATAAACAATAAATAAATTCCCAACTAATATTCTAATGCTTTGTGGGACGTTGCTTTATTTGCAACTTTTTTTTCAATTTGGTTATGCATGCAGTAGTTTATGATACAGTTTCGAAATGAAAAAGCATCAGAGTTTAGAAATGTGGTTTTGCAGACTCTGTCGTAAAAATCCAGGGAAAGATGGTGACAAATCACCTGATTTCACCCTAGAAGATATTGTAAGTACTTTCCTTATATATTCATTAATAAAGTAAATGTCGTATCATTATACTACTTCCATTTCTGTTATAAATTCCATACGCCCTGATTCTCCCTCCTCATTTTCATATTATCTTTTTAATCATATTCAAAAAACGGTTATCATTAATGACTGTCATTTGCTTAGTATTTTACTAGTGAATAATTTAGTGAATGTATTTTTTTTTTTTTTTACAAGCTGAGTTGAGCTGGTGGAATCATCATTTTTTAAAAGGATAATGAAAATATGCAGAAATAATAATTACTAATATGCCGAAATTAGTATTGCTCCTTGTGAAAGGTATTATTGATTGCATTGTCGTCGATTCGCTTACTTTAATGAGCTGTGTTGCAGGAAATGCTTGAAAATGACAATTTAAAAGAAATGACGGTTGATAAAAGACTGGCAATGTTTCGATTGCAAATGATGCGACGCTTATCCATCTTTTTTCCTGAGCAGCAATCTTATGTATGAAGTTTCATAGTCTTATATTTGCTATATTTGCAACACATTTGGTAATGATAGCTTTTTGAGCACCTCAATAAATACACTTTTTTATAATGAAATATTCTTTGAAAGAATAGCTTTGCTCTAACATTTGCTAACTCACGAGTGAATTTAGTTTTCCACCATGAACGTGGAGTGCTAGTTATTAAAACCAATTATATTTGTGATGAATTAGTCCGCTCACTTTATTATATAAAAATACGAATTATCTGAAACTTTCAAAATGTCTTGTTTTGACTTTAAATGTATTTGAAAATTCAGCTTCGGGGTTATGGCTTTTTTGCGGGAATCATGCCCGTTATTTCGGGTTATCCAGCACATATTTCATATGTATTTCTTGTTTCTTCTTTTTTTAAAATTTTTGTGGATGCGCCGAAATTTTATCCAGCTATTCAAAAGTCGTGGGTTCAAGGATTATTTTTGAAGATAAGAGCGAGGTTGCTTAGAATAAAAACTTTAATAATTTTTTAATATTTGTTTGAATGAATAAGCCAAACTTTCACCAATGCTAATGTTTATATTTTTTATCAAAATAGAATTAAATTGCTTGCTGTTGAAAATTATGTTGAGAATTGTTGAAAATATTGCAAAAACTCATATGATGGGTCGAATTTCCTTCTCCAACACAGCTTTCTTCTTTGCTATATGTTTTGATTATTTCATATTTTATCAATTAAGCTTTCATGTCTTTGCAGAATGTTGCAGAAAGCCATTTTCGACCAGGTGAAGCACCAAATATCACTAGTGAAGCAAGGATCATTTTTTCCACAGACCGAATCTACAGATGAAAATGTAGTTTCAGTAGATAAAAATAATTCAAATTTGGTCTCACCTACTGCTTCAGCAACTAACGAGAAATTGCCTATGAATACTCGGTTACCCAATGACATGTACGGTCAACAAAATAAAATGATTCGATGTTGTATAATACATCAGTTAGTATGGCATTGTTTGTACGGATTGCCGCAAGGAACAAAACCGAATGTATGGGAGAGGTCAGTGGATTTTAATTCAGTTCGTTGTTCTAGGTCGTTATTGTGTGCACTTTCATAAGTTTACTTCATACTGATGCTGCTGTATGATAACCGTATCTTTCACTGTAAATTCACTATTCTTTAAAAGCTCTACAGCATATTGATATATAAATAAGGTTTCAGATTCTCAAACCAAGCCGTTTTGTGAGATGAGAGTAACATGTATTCTCTTTTTAATAAATATGCAGGTTGGGGGTTTTTATAAGCTGACAGATTTTTAGATACATTTGGATATAAATGTTAGATTTTTCATTAGATTTTGGATATGTTTGGATAGACGTAGCAGATTTGTATTTTTCATAGGAGACTAACGATCCTAACATATAGCAGTTTATAAAATTATCACTATATGCAACATCACCTTCGGTTTTTAAATCAATTTGCTGGCTTCCAAATAAAGATTTCTTTGGTGAAATTATGAATTTCCAAAATCCATTAATTTATTCCGTCAACTGTGCAGTAACTGTTGAAATCTCATTCATTTGTCAATCTTACTTATTTTCCATCCTCTGTCAATGTAGATTTCTACCTTACCAAGCGCTTGGATCGGGAATACCAGTCAATCAGTGTCCGGTTTATGTAGATGATGAATCCCCGTACCGTTTCATACCACCGATACCACCACACCAGGATTTACCACATGGATGGTTCCTGTTGCAAGATTTAATAAACGTATTGCCATTATCGATTTATGTGTTGTTTGTGAACATGAAGAATAAGGTAAATTTTCACTTTTACATTTTTTTTCGGTTTCTTTGATTTTCTCAAAGATTGTATCAGTCAAACCATTTTATTGTTGATCATGATCATGCCCTAAACAAATTTCAGATATTTTTTTTTAGGTAGATGTAATCGAGCCCTATTTGAAGGATCCAGTCTTACGGCATATGTTAATTAGTGACCTTCCAATAAATATACGTATGAAGTTGTTGGGTAATAAGAAAGCTGTTTTACAGGTATAATTGTGAGGAGCTTTAAAAGCGCATTATAACTGGTTAATTAATGCTTTTATTTAAAAGCGCATTATATTTAATTCTTTATCAGTTTGCATTGTTTATAAAGTTTGAATTTGAAGTTTCTATAAATTTACTTAATTATGACCATTACTTCAATCTTTGATTTTTTTAGCTGGAACATATTTTGCTTACATTGTGTGGTTTCGGACTGGCGAGAGTGGGTCCAACTGTAGATGCAAAGAAAGTAACGAATATAGAATTGGTAAGGTTTTTTCCGTTAAAAAATTGTAATAGCGGCATTTAAACTTTTAAGATTCCTCATTTTTTAGCAATACTTTTATCTGTCTCGCAATGGCTATTTGCGCGATACAAGTACTTCGCAAAAAGGGTACTGTCGTGTATCAATGCCAATCGATCAGTACACCAAATATGAATATGTATTCGACACAATGGATGTAAGCTTGAAACAAATTTAATGATTTTCTCGGTAATATGCAGCGAAAATGAAATTGTTGAAATTTCTTCTTTCAAAAATTTTATATTAACAATAAAATTAAGTGGTAGTTGAAAAAGAAATCTTGTAATATTTTTCTATTTTGTCACATGATCTTTTAGTCTTTAAATTGATATTTATAGGATGTAATCTGTTATTGGCATCATCTACGAGCAATTGTGCAAAGCACACCATTATCGTTCAGGATGGAAACATCGGTTAATTTTTTTCGAATTTGCTTTCATTTTGTTTTATGAGCGCTTTCCTTAAATCTGCGAGTGCTTCTAATTTTTCGGCGAAGCATTTACTTTGGATTCATAAGTTTCATTTCAATTTTTAAATCGCTGAAAGGTTTCTCATAAGTCTTAAGAAAATAGGTTTTATCACCTCTTGAGAAAATAGGTTTTATTTAAAATAGGCTTTATTTTTAGAGGAGAAGCCAATAAGAAAACAAAAAATCAAACAAAGAATCGTATCCATAGATAGGAGCTCATAAAGTTCATCTTCAATTCATGTTACTTAAATATATCGGAAATATAGAATTTTGCAGGGTTTTATACAGCATGTTTTGTGTAATTTTCAGCAGGAAGATGTGCGGCTCTACAAGAAATATACAATTGGAATGTTCGATCGATCTCAAATTGTGAAACCTTTCGAAGATTTATCAACAACTTTTTCACCTGTTTTACCTCATGATGGTTGTGCAGGTTTTGACTGCTCATTTTTTATGTAAGTTCATTTTTTTTAGGTGGGCTTGATTAGAGCAAAAATCGTTTATTCTTTGTTAGAAATGACCGAAAATTATAGATGTTGAAATCATTAATGTTTTGTTTCTAAGTGGTGTAACCTGAGCTTTCATTACAAACAGAACAATACTCAAAGAGCTGGGATAAAAGATTGGTTTTTTTTCACATTATAACATAAACAGTCATTACTTAATGTTAATGTAATGGTGCAGTTTCACAACCTCTTTATGTTTCTTAGTTGTTTCAACAGTATCAACATTGATGAAGTTCTCTTTACCAGTTAATTTGTTTAGCTTTTGGCGTGATTTCACTTTATCATCTAGTGTGCTTTTGCAGACATTTACGAAGACATTGGGACCTCAATCCTCGACCGATGGAATTTGTCAGCTGGTTTTTGCATGAATGGCGCCGAGCAACTGAGAAAACGAAGTCCCTTATTGAGTCACGAGTAAAAAATTACCAAAATTCGTGGAATTCTTATTTCAGAGCTCTAGTACCATCAGAGATTGGTATCTTTCGAAGGTGCGAAATTTAGTTTCATCAGATTCCTTTTTTTTATTTTTCATTTTTACGAAATGTCTCGAAGCCTTATTTTTATTTCAGAAAATTTTCTTGTCAGTACATAGTGATAGCTATTATGATTATCTTTCAAAAATTCAACTCTTAAGTATTTCGTAACAAGACAGGCAAACAATTAATTGTCCTTCGTTTTCTTCATGCTTTACTTTTTTTTCAGAGGCTTAAAGATTTCTCATAATTTGTAGTCAAATATTGGTAGTTTTTTTTTTTAACCTCGTTTCGTAGATTGAAATTGAACTTAGTTAAATAGCTAACTCTCCGTAAATTTAGAACGTCCAGTGAGGGTCATGCATTGGTACGAGCAAATCCCGGTTTTCTTGGTCGTAAAAGTAGCAGTTGCGGTTCTAAGTCGTTTAAAGGAAAGAAAAAGCGTCCATATGATGAAGTTGATATTATTTCAGAGCAGCGCCGTGTACATTTGAGAAATAGATTCACTTCACTAGAACGCAATATGGTAATTTCCTTAAAAATTTTTACGTTTTGGTTTCAAAACTTTCCGATACTAAAGAAAAACGTGAATGTATCGTATTTCGAACTGATAAGAGCTTCGTTTTCAGTTGATTCTTATTCGAGCTGTTAGCTTCTTTTTGAATCCGATGTACCGGTTCTGGTTGGAACCTGCAGTGCTTCGAGATATTATGCATGAAAATGTTCAGGTACTATTTGTTTAGGATGATTATAAGGTTATTTACAGTGCTATTGTTCCTGTCGTTCAGAATGGTTTTCACAAATACGTGTTTATTGTATTGATGCGAGGTGTCAGTGAAATATTTACAAAGTTTTTTCTTCAATCTTTTTTTGACATTTTAGGAAGCGCGTTCGAAAACAGTCCAAAGTTTAATGGCAGCTGGAGTTCGTGAAATGAAGCGTGTTGAACGTGTGACATATCTTCAGCGGATTGTCAAAAATTTGTCTTCATTTAAGGTTTGGTTTTATTCATGTTGTAATTTGTGAACAGTAAAATGTAAGTCCATAGACTTGTTATTGTATGGTTTTAAAATCACCCCAGAAATTTTCAGGAAATGAGGCTCTTGCGAAGCCAGCTTGCTTTTCACCCAATTTCGGATTCAGCTTTGAAGAAGAAGTTTTTATTGAAGCTTTCAATAAGGCGAAGCAGCTATTATTTATGTAATATAAATCTTACATTTTCTTTTTAGGCTAATATAATTTTTATAAACGGATTGCATAGGAAATTTGATTAAAGGTTTTGATTGGAATAAAACTTTATTAGTTTGATGTGGAGAACTGTCAGTTATATATTTAAGGGAATCAGAAAAATTGCCGAAAACCAGCGAGAGTGATGAATCATTTGAGAAATTTATGAGCACTGGTAAATTAAACATATCCACAGAAGTGCAAAAAACTATGGCAGTGCCGATGCGATCGCAGAAACCAAAAGATTCAAACCAGATCCGTCACTGCGTTGCTTTCAACGTTGTTGTGGTACATGCCTCCTATTACCTTGTTATATTTTTTATCTCAAAAATCATGTTTTCATAGTGCAACTACTTGCTTTGATGAAGTAAAAATTCAGTTTTTGAATTATTTTATTGCTTGGCTTCTTCAATAGGAACAACCTTATAAAAACTCTCGTGAAAGTTTTTAAAGAAGCAGCTTTGAAAGTGGCTGGATTCTAGAAAATGCGAGTTGTTAAAATTAAATCAGTGAAGAATTTTTGTCCGAAAAAACGTTTTTATTTTTATTTAGCATTATGCATTTAATATTTCTCGTTTGAAAGTTTATTTTCAGGGAGCCTTGATAAGTGAGCAAGATTTAGCAGATAAAAGTATGGAGTGTATTTTTGAGAAGTTGGGGGTTTCAGCTGTTACAAGGGTGCTTGAACAGCTTCGTATCGACGGCCTTATCACCAGACAGCGATTCCCGATTGAAGATTCAAAATTTTCTTGGAAAAATCAGGCGACATTGTCTTTCAAGTAAGTTCAAGTAATTTTAGTGTGGGTGCTTTTAACGTTGTTATGGATATAGAAATCTAGCATCAAAAATCTTTCAGCTTCCGACACTTTTTCAATCATCGTTTCCATCCGGACATGCTAGAACAGCTTATTGAATCCAGCGAAGAAATGGAACATGGCACAGATTTTGCGGCTGATGATGATACCGCTGGCAGTGTTGCAGCTGCCACTAGATGCTTCTATGCGGGAGTAAACTGAAATAATTACTTTTCAATAATCTTAAATTCTATGGGGCTAACATATCAGAATCTTTAGAAGTAATTGTTCCTTAGCCACTCCAGAATTTATTAATGGACCTCTATGTTTTATTGAAAATTTTGCATTCTGAATCTTCCAATGTATTTGAACTATTTGCGTCAAAAGTTATTGGAATCTTACTTTTTTTCTCCATTAAATTTTTTTAGCCAGTGCTCAAAATAACGATGGATGATAATGTACTAGAGTGTTTTGATGCGTCTTCTCAAGAAGTGGGTTACAATTTTATACTTACAGGTTCAGTCGTTGAGATACATAATGAGAATAAGTCAAACTTCATCACGTCCCTCTTCCTTCCGATACATTATTGTTTTGTTCTAGTTATCATTATTACTGATCTCTTTTATAATTTTGACGGGTAAGCATTCAATTTATGCAGTAAATCAGAAGGTAATCATTTTGTATTGTTTTAGCTTGTACTGCATATTACCATTATACTTT